CATCGGTGAACGAATGTATCATGGAGCAACTACCGGCTACGGGAGTGACGCAATCTAGCCCATTTGAGACCGTCGGAGTCGATTACTGCGGCCCTTTCATGATGAAAAGAAAAAAATTCCAAAATCGGAAATCAATTATGGCATACGTAGCAGTTTTCGTCTGTCTTGCCGTGAAGGCGGTTCATCTGGAAGTGGTCAACGATCTGACGATTGACGAATCTTCCGACGATTCATTGCCCGAAGAGGAAAATGCAACGAAATAATATCTAACAACGGGTCCAATTTCATCGAGGCAAGAAATCAATTGGCAGAATTGTACGTCCTCTTAAACTCCCAAACACGCAACACACGAACCTCTGACTTTGCAGCATCCGAAGGCATCACATGGATGATGATCCCCCCAAAATCACCGAATTTCGGAGGACCATGGAAGGCATCGGTGAAGGCCATGCAACACCATCTAATACGTTCGGTTGGCGAAACATTATTCACGTTCGAAGAGCTTAACACCTTAGACATCCAGGTAGAAGCCATCCTAAATTCACGCCCACTCACCCACTTGTCAACAGATCCGAGCGATTTGTCCCCTCCCACGTCATGACATTTTTTAATTGGACACCCAATGACCGACATCCCTGAGCGTGATCTCAGGAATACATCAACCAACAGATTATCCAGATAGCAACATATCCAAAAAATTCGTCAAAGCTTTTGGTCTCGATGGCACAAAGAATACCACAATGAATTAAACATCCAAACCAAGTGGACCCAGGAGGGACTCAAGCTCCACGAAGGTACTCTCGTCGTCATACGGGAAAATAACACATCGGTATTACAATGGAAGGTGAGAAGAATCATGCAAACTAATCCAGGCGCCGACGGAATCATTCGAGTCATAACCATCAAGACTTCAACCGGAACAATAACTAGAAACACTCGAAGCGTGACGTCATTTTACCTATCGGCGATGACACAACACCATCCACAATTAAACACTGATTCACCACATCAACAATATACACAAACCTATCTCATCTATTGAACCAATAGTTCACCCCAACCATCACCCGATCTAATCTTCAGTAAAGACTCGCAAATGCTCCATAGACAGACAGACAATTGACTCGCATCCTTCTGAACCTTTACCTCCATCAAAAGACTCGTATCTTATATACCATTCTCTATATTCACTCTGAAGACAGAAGGCCCGAATCGAGGAGACAACGGTTTATTCCTTTACGACCAGCGTCCCATAATTCGCACGCACCCGAACCTCCTGAAACATCTGTTACGCGGTGCATATGGAATATACCGATGGATGCCGCTGATTGGAAAATTAACATTTCTCAAAATAACCAATCAGCGTGGGTCAACTTCGGGATTTCAGATAGTCAAAATCGGGACTTGGTACAGTTAGAATCGCGACTCCGAGAAAAAGAATTGAGACTTCGACGAATCAGCACGGAATAGACTGGCATTCGAGCTAGCGTACAAAATTATCAGCGCTAGACCGTAAACCGTTTAGAGCACGCCACGCGTTAATAAGAAGAAAATAACTTCTACTCGCGATGCGTGGTAACATTTTTAGTCCTTCGAGCCGGATCCCAGTGATCTACGTACTTCATCGAGTCAATGAGTGCACATCTGAGCTGCCTTCGCCATTTACGAAGCCACAACGCCCGGACATCCCTTGTTCTGACAAGCATCACTCCAGACAATCTCGTCACAAAGATAAGCTCGTTAACTTTTCCGCCAATTCTTTCCCCCTCAATCCACACATTCCCCGGACATGACAACTAATCAATCCGTAAGCCAAGTGGCCTTGCTCAATTTCTTACGACGCCAATGTGACGACAGCTCTCGATAAATAAGGAAAGGCAGACTCCAAACTCCAATATGAATCAGCAGATGACTACTGTTCCAAATTCCAAGACGCAACCCTGTGACGACAGCTAATACGAATCACCACCCGATAACCAAATCTCCAATCTCCACGATACAACCCCTTCCAAACCACTATATATATATATATTCAAAAACCTAAATAAAGTCAGTTCTTCTCAAATTCTAAATAAGTGTCACTTCTCTTGCGGTATACCTACTCTACGGATAGTATTTTGTATAGAGGCATAGTAATTCTTATTTTTCGCCGTTGCAAACTAGTCCCGTGACACCAACGTGGCTACATAGTCGGTCGGGTTTCGGGGATGAACAAATTCCTTGATAACTATGAAGTGTCGAGGATGAACAATGTCCACCTCGTCAAAAGTTATCTTCAGGAGTTGACAGACACGTGGACACGATTTGACGCTATTCAATAACATCGAAGGACTCGACAAATCCGAAGGAGCGTACGAAGATGAGTTGCGAAACAATTATCACGCGGCGGTAGCAAGAGCAAACAACCTTATTGAAAATATCCCATCTGACGAACCCCGTACCGCGCTCGTCACCCACGTCCACCGTGTCGGCACCAATGGCCATCAAACTGCCAAATATGCGCCTGCGCACATTCGACGGCACGATCGAGAAATGGTCATCGTTCTTTGACCTTTTCTCTTCGATGATCGACCGAAACAGCGATCTAACGCCGGTACAAAAGCTACAATATCTGCGAACGACACTATCCGGGAAATCGGCAGCCTGCATTCAATCGCTGACCACTACCGATACGAATTACACTGAAGTGATTGCGATACTAAAAGGAAAGTTTGATTGTAAGCGCCGAATCATTCTGGGGCATTGCGACGCGTTACAACGAATACCGAACGTCATAAAAGATTGCTCGAAAGCATTAGGGCATCTGGTCGATACGTTTAACCAGTGCATACGAACACTTAAGAATTTGGGTGAAAACGTCGTGGCATGGAATAGTCTGTTATAGCGATCATTCTTTCAAAGGTAAGCGCAGAAACTACGTGGCAGTGGGAGCATACCTTAAAGAACAAGAAGACGATGCCACTTTACACGGAACTCCTCGAGTTCCTCGAAAAACGAGCAAGTTGTGCTCCAACCTCGTCATGCTCATCATTGGAGAAATTGAGAAAAACGGGACGCGAACCAGGGCAAGGGCGCGCGTTCGTGACCACGAAAATGCCATAATGTCCTGTACGCAAGGACTGTCACTACACCCAAAATTGTCATATATTTCGAGCGCAACCAAGGCACGAACGCATCAGGATAGTGCGACGAGCGAACCTATGCACGAATTGTCTCCGAAGAGAACACACTTCACCCACATGCCGAGCTGGTTGCGTTGGATATGGCAAAAAATAAACCACATCTCCTGCACCAGACTCTGGATTGCACAGACAGGACCATGATACACCGTTAGAAGCACGACCAGAATCAACGGAACAAGGGTCGATAACTAATTGACGATTACGGAAGCCGGCAGAGATAGAACATAACCGAACGTTTATTGTCGACACCGCCAGTCACGAGCTTCTAGTTACCGCGCAAGTCGATGCGATCGACAAAAACAAGGAGTCACTACGTTCACGCGCGCTTCTAGACATGTTCGACTCGAAATTTCATCTCCCAAGATCTCCTCAAGATATTCCCATTACTAAGCACTAAACGGGGTTTGTACCGTCGCGAAATCCTCCCCCACCATGACAATACGATCACGGATAAGCTAGTACGAACGAACGTTGAGTTTCTTATTAATTTCAAACATCTCCACATTTCTACCGGATGAGCCGATCGATCGCGTGAACCTCGCGATACCCCGCAATATCAAGCTGGCCGACCCGAATTTCCATGTACCAACACCGGTGGACATGCTACTGAGCTCCGGACCAATCTTGTCGGTACTGTGTGTGGCCCAAATCGATCATGGTCTTACTCTTCCCGATGGACCAGATCTGTACCTGCAGAAAACCACGTTCGAATGGATCATCGGGGGTGCTGCCCACAGTGTCCATACAGCAAGCACGGACAAAATGCACCAAGGAAGAACGAAATTGTCAATCGCGCCCAACAACGTTTATCGCCTCACACACACTCACGCGTCATAGGGAAGAAACGACGGCTACGCGTGCAAATTCTCGACCGATTCAGCCAAGGGAAGTTGCACGCACTTCTCGTGCACAAACCCTTGCACCAGTTTCGACATCCAAGTGTCAGAAGAAAGAAGACAGACCAAGCCGGAAGAACAAGCTGATGGACTAGCACGACTTCTGTAACCGCAGTTCGAGCAAGAACATCAAGCGACCTTCGATCTCCAGGACGACATGAAGCGCTTCTGGGAAATAGAAGAAGGCCCACACACACGCGCCACCTCAGCGCGTCGGAAGTCGCATGCGAAGAGCACTTTCGACGTTTGTTCCGTCCCGGAGAGCGTGTTTATGGCATGGTTTTATTATGGGGCTTGCACTTTTGCCAGGCCTAGCGGTTTGTTTTGTGTTTTGTATCGCGACTGCAATTCCGGAGGTTCGATGTGCCTCAACGCCGTTCTAGCGGATTGGGCTAAAAGCGAAATTTAGGTGTTTTACTAGAAACCAGACGCGACAGATGGGACCACTTGTGACAGACCCAACAAGCGACGGACGGACGACACTTATAAATCACGTCATCGACCATCAGAAGTCGGCTCCTTGACAGTTTCCTACTCCTTAGCCAAAGGTCCTTATGTCACACCCTCTGTCCAATTAAAACTCTTTACCTTTCCACCACCAACATCTATTTTACCCAATCAGAACTAGGCTGGACAAAGCTCTGGACCGAGCACGACGAGACGGGACGTGCAGCGGAATCGACGAGTCAGTTCGTCATCGGCACCAATCCTTCACACATCTAAATTGCACATACAAACGCGTGTTCGAAACGGTACTCAGTTAACGTCCCAATATAACTATTCTACACTTTTCACTAAATAAACACTCTCTTTGATCACACACATTCTGGATCCTTATTATTTCAACTAGTCACGCAATATTAAATTGGCGCGTGATAAGCGTTCTCGGAAATCGAAGGGATTCGATACCGTAGGACGCTACAGACTCTCCTCATTGGTATCCACTTCGAACGGACGCAATACTACTCACAGCTTCCTCTTTTGGACAATTCCGTTTTTCATTGGAGAACAATAGTTGACACCCCTTCGTAGGTGCAGTTTCATGGATTAGCAACGCAAGGAAGAGAGCATACGCTGCATGTATTTATGCACGATCGATCGATGCATGCGGACGTATACAAGTCGATCTTCTTGTCGCACCGCTGAAGCGGCTCACAGTTCCACGTCCGGAGCTATGTGGAGCCTTGCTTCTCACCAAATTAGCCACTTCTGTACAACGATTGCACTTTGACCTTGACAAGATCTTTCTATCTACCGATTTCACCACAGTACTGCACTGGGTGAACTTGTTCCCCCACATTCTGAAAACCTTCGTGGCTAATCGAGTGTCGGAAATTCAGCCAAGTACGGAGAATGCGATCTGGCGGCACGTAGGGACAGCTGACAATCCCGCGGATCTCATTTCACGAGGACAATCGCCAGAAAAATTTCTCAAACCATCAATTTGGCAATGTGGACCGAAATGACTCGCGAGAAAGAAAACCCACTGGCCATCGTGGACCTTGCCATCCGTGGACAAAGAACTCCACGACGTTGTGTAAAACTCCATTTTGTTTAGCGACGACCACGATTGACCTAAATATTGTGGAAAGATACTCTTTATGGGCCAAATTGATCCGGGTCGTCGCCGTTTGTCTTCGATGGAAACCTGACAACAAGAACAAGGAGTTGTAATTACAGCAGAAGGTCATTATACCCGCAACGCTGTCATCAAAATGATTCAACGCGTGCATTTTGAGGAAGAACTGCAGTCATTGTCTTAAACGAGAGACGCAGAAATCAGAGGCAAATTGCAGCGTTTGAATCCATTCATTGACCAAAATGGCATCTTGCGCGTGGAAGGAAGATTTACGCACTCATTAATGCCGTTCTCGCAAAAACACGCGATCATTTCACCTGAATGTCGCATAACAGGGAAGACAATTACGACGAAGTCGAAGAAGACAAAGATACCAACACGACGATAGTAAGTGGATATATCGATCGTGACAATGACGACGATGATGATGACGACGAAGACGGCGAACCGATACGACGTACGACGGAATCACAGTGCACAGTGAAACCGTGTAACATCGGCGTAAGAAGGGTGGAGGCGAAATACGTGCCAATGTCTAAGGATGTGGAAGAATCCATGGAAACATTTAGCGGCGACTCTACGACGAGGGTACAGCGTACGGTTCGTGAGTTTGAAAAAACTGCAAAGCTATGCGAATGGACGAACGCCCAGAAAATCATTTACGGCAGTAGACTACTTCGCGGACCTGTATTTCCTCTATGTAATGATTATTTATATTTTTTGGTATTGCTTCTCTAGTAAATACGAATGCTATAGAAAACTGTTTTCCTTGCATTGTATTCTTATTATTTTGTAATAAATATATACCAGCATAAGAAATCGTAAAAAATAAATTTTTTATTAAGAAATTTGTTTCACAATTACTTGCTTACAATGTTTTCAGAGGCAAAAAATTAATACAAAATAAAAAAATAGATTGGAGAAAAAAAATCCAACGAGAGACGAGAATCGAACCCTGGACCTTCAGCAGCATTGGAACTTTAGGGTTTTGCCATTAGGTCACAACAGTATATAAAAATCATAGGAAATAAATCTGTAGTTACAGAAGTAATAAAACTTTAATCGTAAATATCTTAAAAACTATTGAGTAGCGGCGGAAATAATGGTACATATTCTTGAACTGTATGACGAAATCTACAAACCTACAAAGTTTCAATTAAATCGGTGACCCGAAGGGCTTGCACTCTCCTTGTTAGTTGTGTTTTAGTTGTGAGCCATTAGTTGTAACAGGCTGAATTGTCATTGTGTCGTTGAGTTGAGTTGTAGTCTTAAGTTGTAGTCGATATAGATTCGTATGCTTAATCGTGACCCACATATTGTTAATCGTTTATTATTATTATTGTTAATTAATAAATAGTATTATTTACCACCACCAACCGTAGTCTCTATAATAGCAAACATCTTCTGCATCTGAACTCGATCACCGCGCATAAAACAGTACGTGATCTCCTACAAAGACACAACGTAAAATTTTTCACCTACACCCCGAAAGGCACTAGAAATACATCGATATTATTAAAAACCATAGACGGCGACTTCGAGCCAGAAGTAATACTTAACGAGCTTCGCTCAAAAGATGTTTCGGATGTTCAATTCTGTACAGTAAAAAAACTCGAGACGCGGAATTCAATCCTCGAAGGGAGGAAGCTCCCAATTTATATAGTACAGCTGTCTTCTGACAGCAAAACGGATAATTTAAAACAGATCAAAATCGTACTCCATTCCCTTATTCAACAGGAAAAATTAATAAAGAAAGATCGAGTCCAGTGCAAGAGGTGCCAAAGGATATTACGGTAATTACGAATTTCACAGAATGTCACTTTGTTTTGTATTAATAAAAATTAATTTCTATATTTTTATTTCAATTTTACGTGCACCTTTCCTTTCTTTCTCCTATATATACGCTGACTGCTATAGGTGGATGAACCCTTATGTGGCCAACTGTACGTATGTAAATGAACGCGTGATATCTACAGTTCTACATACCTCGTTTGTGGATATATGTGTATATGTAGACTATGTCACGAAACGACCTTTTACAATATTAACATGTTAAATAACCCCAGTAACGTATACGTTTCAAATGCAAAATAAAGGTGATTCCTCAAAATAAAACCGATTATTTTCTATTTTAAAATTAAAAGCGCATTACCAAATTACAACGTAGTTAACAAAGCTATACTATATTCCAATTTTCTGTTTGCAATGAATTGTGAATTTTAAACTTACTTGATACATTTAGTACATACTCTGTAGGTGATGTGATATACGTTGGAAAAAGTAATGGAAAATTAGGACTTTGACTCATAAAAATATCATGAACATAAATTGAAAATAGAAAACAACGGAAACAAATTATATTTATATTAACTCGGAGCGTTCCGCCTTACCTCACACACTCGGCACATTACTCCAATGGTATGGTTCTTCCCTAACAGTAAGTGTAATGTAACTAACAGTAAGTGTAATATACTCTTATCTCTAACACGTCTGCACTGTACGATGCCTCCAAGGGACCTGGCACGAGTCATGCCAAATCCATACACGCGCTCGCAAACATCAACATCACGGCCGTGATGACTTTTACATTCTTCCTAATAATATATTTTAAAGAGATCG